CCTCCAGACCCCCCACCCTTCCCCTGCTCCTGCATCCCCCACCTGCCCTGACTCTCCACCCCTACCCTGCTCCTCCACCCTGCAGACATACCTCCCTGCAAAGATTGATGGGGACACACAGTTTCACCCCATCTCCACTGTAGCCAGGAAGACAGTTACAGGCAACCTGTGGAAGGAAAAACAAGCTATTTTGTAGAGCTAAAAGCAATAATGGAAGAGCACAGGAGCCAAGCAGGAGAAAGGGGTGAGGAGAGCGTATTTCACATCATCATTTGAAGGTGCATGCTGTTCATTCATTAATAGCCAGGTCCTGATGCAGAAATCAGCTACAGTTCTCCAGCCTTTGGCCAACAGACTTTATATAGGCCAGCAGGCGGTTCCCAGGCGCGAGACAGGGAGCCCCCTATTTACTTACAAATAGATCCTTCTATATGAAAGGGAAATGATGCAAAATATCAGTCAAAAAGATTCCCGAGGGCAAGTTTGCCAATAACCCTGAAGGAAAATGACCTATGAACCCACCTGGGAAAAGGGTTTCTTACCTGATTGGGGCCTGTTTTAGTGCACTCCGCGTTGCGGTGGCAACCCCCATTGTGCTCTAGGCAGCCATCAATTTCTGCATGGAGAGATTAGATCCATGTTAACTCAGCACGAACTCAAAGAGGGAGGCGACTCAGGGGTGAAAAGCGGACCAGAGAAGTAGCAAACAGAGCTCTCTCCACCTGGCAGACTCAGTGCCGGACTGAGCCATAGTTGTGCCCTGGGCAGTGGGCACACGGCGTATGCACGGCCCCACCCCCAGGCATGCAGCGCCCCTTACCACTTCAATCAGGCGCCCCCCATAGGTTGGCGTGCCGGGCAGCTGCCCAGCTAGCCCCGCCCTTAATCCAGCGATATCTCCTCCCCCCGTAAGCATGACCGTTCAGAGATAGGGAAATCCCAAGAAGTTCCATTCATCATGTCCTCCTTGGTTTTGAACAGTTGATTTAGAGAATATGGTGGGAAACAAGGATACATTTCTCACTGCGATACTCCTAAATAATGGCAGATCTTGGTCTTCGGGCCGGGCTCTTCACATCCATGTGATTTCACCTCCCTGGAAAGTATCGCTGCCAAACCATGGCTCAGAGCCCACACTCACCCAGACACAGCGACCCATCTCCAGCATAGCCTTCATTACAAGTGCAGGTGCTTTCTCCAGCAGAGACCTTAGTGCACGTTGCATGAATAGAGCAGCCGCCGTTATCCACAGCACATGGATTTATTTCTGTGACAGAACACACAGGAAGACTTAGCGGGACACATGTGGAGCAACGTTGCAAAGATGGTGCTTTGCAAGTCATGAACTTCATGCCATGTTCCTCAGGAAGAAGATATTGCATCGGAGAGCCTGAAACTTTACTTAAAGTCTCTGCTTTATTTCCAGAAAAGTATGAAATTATTTTCAATGAAACTAAAGCTCCTTTACAGACACAGACGACTCATAAAGATGCTATTGAGGCTAATGCCAGAGATGAGCTATCAAGTCATTGGTATAAGAATCTGATTAGCTAACAGCTGATTGCTCTGAAGGACTTGCTGTGTGACTAGCTACAAATTATGCTAAAAAAAACCCAGCCTCCCTGATTAAAAGAAAACGTTTTTTTGTCTGTATATCACCCCTGGTGAGGTCAATACGGAAGCAGAGCTATTACAGTTGCTGGCACTCTAACTTGATTAGATTGGAATTTATTGCTTCAAGTGCCCGGTCTCTGCATAAACAGAAGAGGTCCGGAAAAAAGCAACGTGAATCTATTCGAACATGATACTTTAAAATCTTTTTGGTGTTTTTGGATATTTAGCAGATAGTCTTTAAAGTGCTACATTGTCTCTCTTTAAAGCCCATGGAAAAACTAACAAGATGGTTTAATAGGTGATGAGCTTTCGTGGAAAGTGGGCCTGGCCCATGAAAGCTCATCACCTATTAAACCATCTTGTTAGTTTTTCCATGGGCTTTAAAGAGAGACAATGTAGCACTTTAAAGACTATCAGCCCATGGTGTCTTGAGTTGGGTTTGTTTGATTTATCTGGGGGGTGGGGATGTTAATTAACATGTGTGTGTCTAGAATTTTACTCTATTGTTTGACCATTTCATGACACTGTTGCACTATTATTGAAATGAGACCCTCTAGACCAGGGGTGGGCAATACGTGACCCACAGGCCAAGCACAGTTTGCCAGGGTTAGCCGCTGGTGGGCTGCCAGACACAAGCCCCAGCAAACCACATCCAGCCTGTGGGCTGCGTATTGTCCACTCCTGCTCTAGAGCAATCTAAGAAGGTACATTCTACAATCTGCCGAGCGACTTATTCTGGAAACAATTCAGTCCATTCACATGCCATTCTCTGTATCCACTTGAGAAACAGGAATGGTTCCTTCCCTGGTTCTAGATATATCAGAAAGGTTACATTAGGTCCGATCCTGGAAAGCCTTCATGCAGAAGTCAGTACAAGTTGAACCTACTGGTCCAAAAACATCCATAATCCAGCATGATTTTTTGCAGTGGTCCCCAACCTTTCGGGGCTGCCAGGTGCCCAGGGCGGGGCCGCTTACACACCACGCATCTGGGGGCGGAGCTGTGCATACGCCGTGTGCTCGGGGCAGGAGCCGCCCATGTGCTGCACGCTGGGGGGGGGGCAGCCCAGATCATTCAGCAGGTGCACAAATGCCCCGGTGGGCGCCACGGCACCTGCGGGCACCGCGTAGGGGACCACTGTTTTAGTGACTTGGATGTCCACTTATGGCTGTGGCCAAACCACGGCACCTGCGGGCACCGTGTAGGAAACCACTGTTTTAGTGACTTGGATGTTCACTTATGGCTGTGGCCAAGTTTCTCACAGTCCCATAAAGTTTGTTTATAGCCACCAATGCTGGCTCTCAGTTTTCTGGGCTGTTTGGCTCTAATTTACCCCTAAATGTCTTCAAAGAGTCCCCTAAGCAGTGGAAGTGCTGGCAATGCTGCTAGACAATACTGACCTCCCACGGCTCAGCAAATTCTCTGGTTTGGCACCAGTCAGGTTCAACCTGCAGGAGGGTCTTCACTTGGGGGCAACGGGATGTGCATGATCCTGTCCAGGGGGCCATTTCAGCATACACTCAACCTCCCAATGCTTCCACAGACCCAACCCAGAATCTCCCAGCTTTCAAAGCAGGAACACTTGTGAGAGCGCGGATTCGTGTGGCCTCGTGGCACCCGAGTGTCAGAAATACCTGAACAATAGGTTCCATTGCCAGTGTATCCAGCAGAGCAGGAACAAGTAGGCAGGGAATCGACAGAACCATTCACGCAACTGAAACGACCAAGGAAGAGAGCAACCAATGACATCCTTGCTCGTATCTCACCCCTGCTGATAGCATTCTGCTGGATCACTGAATACTGTCTACAGCGACCATGGCAGCTGGATACTATGGTCAGAAGTGAGGTGGATATAACATGAGAAACCAAATCAAGCAGTTAAATTGTTCTTTGCAATGCCAAAACCAGATCCAAATACTTCACATGCTGGGTAACAGCCTCAAGGGACGCTCACTAAGAGGAGCGTGCTATGCTTAGGGCATGAAGCACAGTGGGTAGACGCTGCAGCTGCATTAGAGAAGGCTGCCCTATTCCATTAGAGTATATCCAAGATCAAATGAAAATATAGGGGGCTGAATAGCTCCGCTCACTGGCCATAGACAATGGAAACCTTCTCTCTGAGTCACTGGTTTTAACCTGGCTCAGGTGACCAGAGAAGGAAAGCCATCTGGGTGTCTGTGTGAAGGGAGTTGGTGTCAGCCCTGTTCCTTTGAAGCCAGTGTGACCCCAATCTCAAACACACTGCTCTGTGTAGCACTGCTTATCCAAGGCCTGGCCAAGCATGGAGCTGCGGAGACCTCTATGGTCCAAGAGGTGGCTACTCCAGGTCACTGAAGAGGCTCTTAAGCTGGCATTGTAGTTGTCTTACCTGGACCTGGTCAAGCCAAGCACCTGTCTCCAGCACAAAAAGGTTCACTGAGTATGTACAATGCTCTCCTTCTCCAAACCTATTTCTAGTTAATGCAGTTAAGCCTACTTAACATTAGCCCCAACTTCCCACATTTGAACAATGTGTGGGGCTTCCCGTAACCAGCCAGGCCCTGCTGTGCTGCTCAGCGGAGTGCCAGCATTTTTCAGTTCCGAATTTCAATCCGCCGGCTAGTCTCATTTCCAGAAGGGAGATGTTATTTGAAATTAATGTGCCTGCCAATGAAGCAGCAGTCTGTGGTGAGGGTACACCACTGATTGTGCCTGGGAAAAGTTCCTATGCATGTGTACACACGCACGCACGGTGAGTTCAAAGGGGGAATGAATAAGTAGGCCGGAGCCTACATGATCTATAGTGTCCAGTCCCCCACATCAACCTTCCATGTTTTCACAAACACGCAGTCAAGTCCATGTAAAACAGCTGCACATGCTGGTTTATGCCCTCGGCACCACGGCTGTACTTACTTGGCCATCAGGTGGCAAGTGCTATTGCATAAATTCAGCCCAATCCCTGCAAGAGAAAACGGGAGCCCAGCTTCAGTTTCCAGTCCATAACAGTGTCACCATTTCAGCAGCCTAAGATAACAGATGTAAAATGGGCTCCTCCCAATTTGCGTGGAGCCCCCATTCATAGCAGGACTCACCGAGGGGGAAATTCACCCCTGTGCACGTGGAGAAGCACCAGCTCAAGGCCTATGAACCTCAAAATAGGGGTCACATGGCACTGAAGTGGTACAAAGGTCTTGGGTTGGCTCCCTGCGAAAGGGTGGATTTCACCTGATCTGCACAGTCCACAGATCACTACAAATGAGACTTGGATAAGAACCCTCAATCTGCAGAGAGCAGGCTCACTAGAACAGCACAGTGGAAGAATCTGTCCTTCACCAAGCTATACCACGGGCATGTCTAGTTTTGGTATATAAAATATTTGAATTCCCACTGGCTTTTATTGTTACAAATGCATCATAGACACTTTGGGCCCCAAACCATCCAAGATCTGGGGTCAAATTTTCAAAAGCACGTAAGAGACCTAGGTGCTTAGGTCCCATGGACTTCAGTGAGCCTTTAGGCTCCTAAGTCACTTGGGCATATGAGAAATTTGACTCCATATCATTTTCATGGTTCTTCAGTACATGGATAGTAGATGTTCAAATGAGAACAACAGCCGGTATGTTACGCTGGCTCCATAAATGGATCCACAATTAGAAAAATAAATACTGAGATATTTGGAGCTCAGAACCTGCATGTCCAGTCTTTGTAATCAAGTACAAGGGACTAGGCTCAGCTTTGTTTAGCTGGGAGTCTTTGAACCACAGTTTAGGGGAAACTAAGCTCCAGACTGAAATTCTAACGTGAGATAAAACTGAGAACTAAGCTCCAGACACTCTGAAATTCTAACGTGAGATAAAACTGATTGAGTGGAATTTGAGCGGGGGAAGGGATTAATGGGAAAATCCTAATTACCTGGGATACATTTTATATCTCCACATATATATCTACTATATTTTTGTGAAAGTTTGTCAGTTTTCTCAAGAACATCTCCTAAATGGTAAGAGCTAGGACCACCAAATTTGGTACGCAGCTTCCTATCATCATAACCTAAAGCAAGGTCAGGGTTTGGTTTTGCCAGGACAATGGGAAATGCCAGGAATAGGATTGCTTCTCAGAAAACCATACAGAAAAGAGACACAATCACCAAGCAGGGGAAAGAGATTGGTTGTCTCCCCCCCCCCAAAAATCCAGGACTGCCCCAGCTTTGAGCCTCCCATCCTCAAGGCACCCTTTGGGCAGAGGGAGAGGAGCCGAAGTTCCCCCTCTCCCCGAATTTCTACAGGGACACTGCTGGCTGTTCCCCTTAGTCAGGGAGCGAGGGGGAACTGTTCCCCTTGGTCAGGGAGTGAGGGGAAAGTGCCCAGTTCGCTGCATTCCTCACTCTGGCTGGGGAGCGCAGGGGGCAGACAAACTGCTCCAGCCGGGGGACATGGACCCCTCCCCCACCTATGACCACTGGAGCTGCAGCGGCCATGAAGAAGTACTTCTCACCTGGCCCCAAGCTACTGCAGTGAGAGGGATGGGGTAACTCCCCCACCACCTCAGGGCAGCCTGCATCCTGAACCCCCACCCCAGAGCAATGACTGATATGAAGCATTGGGTAAATCTTCTAGTATATTCTCTATATAAGACACCAGAATATACGGCTTGTTACAATTGACGGGGTTGTCATGCCAACCTTTTCTTCAGGTTTGATTTGCATCCGTTTGTCTATTTCCCTTCACATACCAACCTAAGTTTTGCTTTCACTACAGGTTCAAACGACCTGAAAGCAACACTCAGTCAAAGCCACCCAGTGTCATCAATAGGGTTGCCAGATGCCTGGTTTTCAACTGGAAAGTGCAGTCGAAAAGGCAGAAGTCTGGTTACTGGTGGCTGGGGGGGAGGCACCAGGTCGTTAGTCCTCACCAGCTCTTGTCAGGCTCCAGCAGCTCCATCCCAGTCCCACAGTGGAGGGAGGGAGGTGTGGGTGTGTACCTCCATTCCCCCCACCACACAATCCTGCAAGTGATGGGAAAGGAGCGAGCAACAGGGACCTGGCCTTGGGGGAAGAGGCAGAGCCGAGGTGGGATCTCAGGAGTTCCATTACCAGCAAATAGAAAGGTGATGGCTATTGTCAGAAGGTGTCAAAAGGAGGGAAGAAAACCACTAAAAAGGGTAAGTGAAATATTTGGAACCAACGAGTAGTCCTGTGGCACCTCAGAGATTGACAGGAATATCCGAAGTATCATGAGCTTTTGTGGGTGAGGCTCCAATTCATCTGAGGAAGCGGGTTTGACCCAGGAAAGCTCACGATTCTATATGTTTTGGTTAGTCTCTAAAGTACCACAGGACTACTGGTTTTTCAATTTACAGACGAACATGGCTACGATATTTAGCTGCATCACAACACAACCAAAACAAGCCATGCGCTGCAGTCCCTTCCCCCTCTGACTGAAGGAGGCCCGGGCTGCGTGAGGCTCTTTTCACACTTACTTCTCTCACAGGTGACGCCCTCCCAACCTTGGAAACACTGGCAGCTCCCATCTCCGTGCAAGCCGTCTTTGCAGAGCCCATTTCTGCACCCGCAGACTGTGGAGAAACACAACGCCGCCATCAGCCAGACAGCTCGCACGCGCACGGAGAAGCCTGGCTGCTGCATCGGAGACACAACACTTCAGTTTCTCCATGAAAACCACGAAGGGTGCGGCAGGGCTTGTGTGAGCCGCGCCAGATGGAAAGGCCTAGGCGTGGAAGTTCTCCAGGTGGCCTCCCCAGGGCAGGGACCGTTCAGACGGTGGCGATGCAAACGTCCCGCAAGCGGCCCTATGACACGCGAAGAGGCTCATTCTTCCCCGGGTGAGTTCAATGGCAGCCCCACGGTTCAATCGCAACTGTGATCACCTGATTTGCAGTCCGCTCCGTATCTGCCCACTTCACACATCTCACAGGCAGTGCCGTGGAAGCCTTCGTGACAGCGACACTCCCCGCTACCGGTAATACCGTCCTGGCACACGCCATTTCCAGAGCACCAGCTGCCTGGCTTCCCTGGGCACGTCTCGCACATATGCCCGTAGTAACCTGGACAGCAGACAGAGACCTTTGAGAAAGGACAACAGGAGGGAGTAAGGCATCTCAAAGGGTGGAAAATGCTCCCCTATCAAAAGTCACCTCGCTTTGGTCCACGTATTGGATTATCCCTTTTCTTGTTTGATCATTGCTGATTATTTGCTGCTAGAACGCTGTTAGCATTCTTTCATACGTCTGTATTAATTGGTGCTGCTAAGTTTATTAAAGATTGTGGTGAGTTGACAAGAGCATCTCAAGTAACTCTGTCTTGACACAAAAATAAATCGGTTTAGTCTTTATGCTCCAAAACGCCATGTCAACGCCTTCCACTTGAGTCTAGACCTGGCCTTAACCCCACTGCTCCACCACCCCGTCTCAGATAGACGGTTCCCAGCCAGAGCCTGCTTCCTGAACCCCCTGTCTCAGCCCTGCACCTCCTCCTGCACCCAACCTCCTGCCCCAGAAGTTAGTCTCCCTGCACCCAAACTCTTCAGAGTTTGTACCTTCAAACCCCTCCTGGGCCCCCAGCCCCCACCGTGGGCTAAGCCCCTCCCACATTCTGAACCCCTTGGTCCAAGACCAGAGCCTGCACCCCAACCTGGGGAAAGTGAGTGATGAGGAGGAAGAAGGGGGATGGAGTGAGCAGGGCCTCAGAGAAGGGGCAGGAAGGGTATTTGGGTTCGAGGTAGATCGTACATTGCCCTTAAATTGAAAAAGTGACCTAGTGGTTAAAATGGTTGGAGACCACTAGTCTAAAGGAAGCATTGCATATCAGGAGAGACTCGAGTTACCATTCAGCAATTGGATAGGACAAGAAATTATACAACTAAAAATAAAATATTCCTTCTATCAATGTACTTCCACCAATGTCACTGAAATGTCAGCATTCTGGGATAGGGGGAGAAGTTCAAATGAGGAAAAATAAATTTAATTCTAGCAAAACCGTAGCGCTGCTGGCAGCTAGAAACAACACGTTAAGAGGCCTGGTAACAACAGTAAACTGGAAGACAGCCACAGAAGCTGTAACTGGGAATTTATCCAAAAGCCAAGCTCTGCGCTCACTCAGAAGAAGTCAGGCTGTACTGGGGACACATCCTGGAAGGTGCATAGACCCAGATGAAAACATTGTCATGCTAGAAGGTATTAATGGCTGCCACTGGTGGGTTCTTGTGCAAGAACGTCTTGTGCAAGGTTCTTGTGCAAGAGCTCTTGCACAAGCACATGTCCACATGGCCATGTGCTTTTGCGCAAGAGCATCCATGGCAGTGTGGGTGCTCTCTTGCGCAAGAAAGCTCTGATGGCCATTTTAGCGATAGGGCTTTCTTGCGCAAGAAACTCCTGCCCCGCGTCTACACTGCCCTCTTGTGCAAGAGCTCTTGTGCAAGAGAGCTTACACTTGTTAGAAAAGAGCATAGCTCTTGCGCAAGAAGCCTTCTCTTCCCACGCTTTACTGTAAATCTTCTTGTGCAAGAGCAGGCGGGCCGTGTGGACGCTCTGCTGGTTCTTGCGCAAGAATAGCCAGTGTAGACATAGCCCATGGGTGCTCTGGGGCTGGAGCAGTGACCAGGAAAAATTAGGGGGTGCTGAGCACCCACCAGCAGCCTGTGCCCCCCCTCCCTCCTGCACCTTTCACCCACTAGTGGCTCCACCAACACCTCCCCCACTGTCTTAGTGCTTCCAGAGCTCCGCACACAGCTGATTTGTGGTGTTTCTGGGAGGATGGGGAAGGAGCAGGGTCAAAGCACGCTAGGAGGAGCGGGGGGGATGCAGCAGGGGGAGGATGCGCACCCCTCAGTGAAAGAGGAAGTCGACACCTGTGATGAGGCCGTCTCGCAGACGTGTGATCTACAGATAATCAGAGACCTGATTGGAGGGGATGGATGTGCTACTCTAAAAGGGAGCAATGAAACAGCCCTTTCTATCGAGATACCTGGGAACAATAAGAGGCTACTGCCCAAGGCTCTGGGTGTAATGCTGATGTGCTCTGAGGGATTTCCCTGGAATTGGTTGCAAACGCAGGGGCTGGAGGATGGTTTGCAGAGCCGTGGGAGTATTGCTATGTCCACACTACAGCCAGATCAACGCTCTGGCAACTGGCACTTCTGGGGTCAATTTAGCAGTTCTAGTGAAGACCCCACTGGATCTGCTAATCGACCCCAGATCACTGGCTGAGACGAGGAAGGCAAGCCAATAAGAGGGTCAGATGGGAGAGAGCCAGTCGATGGGAGATGGAATAACTGCCCAACGCTTACTACATTTAAAATGGTGCAGCAGGGGGAGGTCCCGGACCCAGAAGAAGCCGGGACTCAAATGAGCTGCCTGCTCACCTGGCTGGGACCCCCCCAGACAGGGGCTGCTGTTAGAGCAGCCTCTGCCCATGGCAGGCCCAGGTTCACTGCACAGGTTGCTCTGTGGGATGCGCTGTGAACCCCCTCCCTCCCCCCAATAGAGGCAGCACCATGTGGGGTGGGGCAGGCAGCACCGCGGAGATGGTGCTGGGGAGAACCAGCTTTTAAGCCAGCTCCCCGTAGCACCAGCTCCTCCTCCCCCCTTGCTGCCTCTGATACAAGGGGGAGGGAAATGCGAGTCATCAACTAGACTAACCAACAAGCCTAGGTTCATCAGTTAGTTGCCTATTCGCTTACATACCTACTGAGCACCCACTAACTTTTCCCCATGAATGCTGCAGCCCTGGAGCACCCACAGAGTTGGCACTTATGAGGCTAATGGGCCATCATCTAGGACAAGGTGAAAAGACATGAGCATCCTGCAGACCTCCTGTCCCTGACTCATGGATGCTGTGATACTACGGAGTCAGGTGACCCAGTCCTCTGATACTAACCATCATCTTGGACTACTGACCTCTTCCCACTGGCAGGGGTGAGTCAAACAAGGGATTCCTGCCTTACAGAAATCATATACAAGGTGGGAGAGGAAAACAATTAAGGTATTCAATTTGCTTCTCCTCTGCCTCCCCACCCAAAGAGGTACTTGAAAACACCTGGAAACAAAAGGACTGCAGCTGGCAAGCTTAGTTATTCTGTTTTGTATTATTTTCTTAGTAATCTGCTTTGTTCTGTTTGCTACCTCATTAGCCACTTAAAATACACTTTTATAGTTAACTTGTTTCTTGCTTGTAATAGAACCCAATTTATGTCATTTGTAACAGGGGCGGGGTGAGAAGTTGTGCATGCCTTCCTTCATACTGAGGGAGGAGACTACTTTTCTGGAATGTGGGGTTTGCACCTCAAGGGGGTTGGACATCTGGGGACTGTGGCAAATCCCTGAAGCTGAGCCCTCCTAGAACTGATCTCAGGAGATGTACTGTCTGTACTTGGGTGTGGCCCTACATGTGTGTTTGCTGGAGGAGGCTTAAGAGTCTGACTCAGCAATACAGGGTTAAAGGGTGCCCAGGTTGACAGAAAAGGCAGGCTCGTTGATATCTCAGCACATCAGGTGACAGCCCAAAGAATCCAACCCATCATAGATTCCTTCAATTTCTACCCCCCAACTGGAACATTCACATTGACTAATCTCCAAAAGGGGCAGCACATAAAAATTTAGAAAAACTTACAAAACCCCCCACATAGAAAACTGTCAAATGTGCAGAAATGTAAGTTGTTGGTTTTTTCCCCCCCAGGACCCACTTACAGAGCCCCTATTAATATGAAAACACCAGATTTGTCCTTCCCAATCATGTCAAAATTGGGAAGGTACATGACATTTTTAACTTACTAAGGAAACTTTAACGCAGGTGAAAAAACAGCCAACTTCTTTGGATTGTCCAGATTTAAACATACAGTGTGGCTCCTTCCTCTTGTCTGAGGTTTCCTGCAGATCCAATTAAACAAATTATAAGCAAACAGCACATCACAGGAGGCATCTCTCAGAGCCAGCCCACGCACTGGTGAAAGAGAAGACCACCACCGTTCATCCTGTGTATAAGAATGGCAATAAGGATCAAACTATGTCAAAGCATGACAAAGCAGCATCACAGGCCCTGATGGGTATAACTCCAGGGGACTGATAATCTTCCCTTTTATTTGCCATAAAACCAACATGTCTGCCTGCAAAGGGGAACGTGCCTTGTGCGCGTGTCGGTGTGTAGCACCACCAGCAGGATTAGCTCAATTATTTTTCTAACATTCCTGAGTCTTTGAAAAATAACGTGGCAAAGGAGAGAGGCAAGCGAGCCCATCGGTGTGACGCGCTGAGGCTGGAAAAACATCCATCGTTTCCCAGAACTGTTTTTAACTAGCAGCAGGGTTGGAAAAGCAAGAGCTCTGAGGCCAAATCCTGCTCACTGTTACTAGTGCGAGATGGGCCGTGAAGTCAAGGAAGGTTCCGCTGGGTTCTACAGAGCAGCATTTGGGCCTAGGTGATACTGCGTCACGTGCTGTGATTCAGAGGGCCGGCACAAGGAATATTCACCACTTTAGGCCTCAAAACAAGGCCGAAATGAGACTTAATTGCGCCTAAGCCCCGTGCTTGGCCCTCTGTACAGCTGTATATCCCCCCTCAGGCTGGTTACACCGAAACACATTCTCTGTCCATAACACTTTCCAGGTGCATGCTGGGTATGGAACCACAGAACACCAGAATCCCATCCCCCACCCCCGAATCCAGCCCTGGCCCCATGCGTGTCAGGCAAGGCCTCAGGGTGCACCCCACAAGTGGAGTGGACAGTTGAAATGGTTGCACTGGGATTGCTTCAGACAAAGGAGGAGGGGAAGCCATTCTGGGATGGACGTGTGGAGATGAAAGTGAAGTGGGGAAATCTTTATACAGTTCTGCTCTGAGCCATTGAAGACAAATGTATTTGCAGTGCATCTGCCTCTCTCCTCCACCTCTAAATTCTGCCCCCCTCGCTTCCTGCCCCTCCCGCCAACAAATGATCAGCCTCTCTCCTCCACCTCTAAATTCTGACCCCCTTGCTCCCTGCCCCTCCCGCCAAAAAATGGAGGTAACAGTCTCAGGCTCTCCTCCTGCCTCTACTTGGCCTTTGGTCCATCCCTCTTCACACAGCAGCTCTGGGCTCTATTCTGACTTCGCTGCCACTATGTCTTTAGGTTTAAAACCATCACTGCAACATCTGAGCCAAACTGCCACTGGGGCTCATCTCCCCTCTGTGCCCAGGAGCTGAGAATCTCCCCGAACGGCCTCTTCCCTGGCCCGGGGCCTCACAGCAACCCAGCTAAAGAAACCAACTGGCAGAGCCATGGGGACCAGCTGGCTCCCTACAGGGCAGAGGGGATCAGAGTGACAGGGACCGTGCTGGATGGGGTCCCCACTCTAGGCTGCAAGCTCCGAAGAGATGCTTCCATGTGAGCCAAATATGGCTGGGGGGCACCAGTCCCCCAGGGGAACCTCAACCACCTGCGGTCACACAGGAAACACCTCTCTCGTTTCTTGAATGAGCACAAGGGAAGAATGAGCCACTAGTGGGTCGGCCTCCTGCTTGACATCTCCCACCTGCACGGCTGAAAACAGAGCCGCTGCTGTCACTGAACTGCATGCAACCGTCAGACTCACCTCCAGGACCGATCCGGAAGGACACTTGATCCCCCTGTCACACCTAGCGCATTTCAACTAGGGGACAAGAAACAGGACAAGTCACACACGGTCCCTTAGGAACATCCTGCTTGTGCTAGTTATGGTATATATACTCCCGGCAGGCTGTGGAGGGCTATCCATTGCTGGCCCAACGCCTGCCCCCTTCCTGGCATCGCACCACCCCTCTCCACTCTAGTCCAAGGACCCTGTCTTGGGGCTCACTGGCGGGGCTTGGCACAACGCTGCAGCAGTGGTCACGCCCCCCCCCCACGCTCCCCAGAGCAGCAGGAGCCATGGGGGCAGCAGAGCACAGAGCGCTCCTGCCGCCATGGGGAGTCTAAGGGGATTGATTGCTGCTGCCACGCCCCTCCCAGTGAGCCCCAAAGCCATGTCCTCATGGATGGGAGTTCATGGGGGGGGGGAGAGGAAGGGGTAATGGCAGGGAGGGGCGGAGCTTGGGGACAGTGTACCAGGGAGAGAAGGGAGGGCAATGGCAAGAAGGGGCGGAGTTTGGGGGCAGTGTACTGGGGGGAAAAGGTGGGGCAATGGCAGGAAGGGGCGGAGCTTGGGAGCCAGTAACAGACAGGTTGCCGCTGAAAGTACCAGGCCAGATTGCACATTTCTCTGGCCCGTGGACTGGAAGTTTAAGACCCTTGGTATAAAATGTTCATCAAATCATGTGGATCCAGCCATTATTCGCTGGCTCAAAACAATGAACTGAGAAAATAACGAGTCAGCCGGCAAAGGCCTCGCTAATATGGGTTTGCTTCATACATAATGAACTGAGCAAATAACGAGTTAGCCGGTAAAGGCCTCGCTAATATGGGTTTGCTTCATACAATGTCTTTATGGTTGTTTTTAACATGGAACTGTGAATACAACACACGGCTCCCAGAACATAACGGGAAACAAATCCCGCAGCATCTGAGCTGAGCTACCAATGGGACTCATCTCCCCTCTGCACCCAGGAGGAGTTAAGAATCTCCCCGAACAGCCTCTTCTCTGGACGGGAAATGTCATTTCCTAGCTATCACAGTGTATGGAGTTACGCCTCCATGACGTCTGGGAACGTGGCAGTTTATTGAACTATACCTGCGAGTATGGGGCCCGATGCTGAGAGATGCTGGCTTCCCCACATCTCCCCAGAGCATCAGAGTTGCAGGCACTCAGAGGTGAAAGTAATCCAGTAGGGCCTGGAACACCAGGTGGCAAGGAAGTGTCTGGCAAGGTCCAGGTATGATGGGGAAAGGGAGATGAAAGAGCTTGGGGGCCCAGGCTGGCAGCAGAGTCACATGGAGGGTCACGTGATTTCCCCACCCCGCTTAACTGGTGTGTTCCTTCCTCATACTGGCAAGAAATTAATTTTACCTTCGCCCTCCACAGGTGCTCAACAGTGCCAGTATCAGGATCACAGTGAGCATCCGTTCTGTACCGAGGCAGAGCTGAGATTCGCTGCTCCAGCATCTGCTCTGTACCGAGGCAGAGCTGAGATTCGCTGCTCCGAGCCATCGTGATGCGACGAGTTCATAAGACTGTCAATCAGAGCGCTCTCTAATGCCGTGACAGTCTTTATAACAAGCTACTTACCCTGTGAACCACCGTGGTATTGGCAGTGCAACGGTTTTTCTGAATCGGAAGGACCTCAGAAACCCCAATCAACATCCCGTTCTTGGTTTCAAAAAATTTCCCATCCAAGCGGATGTTATTTACAAATGTCTGCAAAGAGAGGGAAAG